TAAAAAAAAAATTGGTGGCTTCTTTCAAAAACCATTCTGCAAGGTTGTTGTTTTTGTGTAGACCCTGATTCTGCTTATTCCTCTCTTCTCACATTAATCTTTCCCCTCTTGGTTTCTACATTTAAATACAGGTAGTCCTCAACTTACAACTGTTTGTTTAATGATCATTCAACTGCAGAGATCTCCAAAATTGGGCACGTTATAAGACTTGTGGACTTCAGCTCCCAGAATTCCTCAGCCAGCAATGGCTGACTGAGAAATCCTGGAACCACAAATCTTACGGTTATGCCTGAGGAATTCTGGGAGTTGAAGTCCACAGATTCACAGTTGGCAAGTTAAGGAAACTGCCTTAGGGCGTTATAAGAATGAGCTTCTTCCAGCTAGTGACTTGCTGGTTGAGTTTCTACTGTATGAGGTCTCCCAACTTGGCAACTTTGTGGACTTCAACTCCCAGAATTCTACCATGCTGGCTGGGGAATTCTGGGACTTGAAGTCCACATGTCTTAAAAAGTGGCCAAGTTGGGAGGCCTCTCCTACTGTATTGGCATAAATGGCAATTACGGTTGCAAAAGCCCAACATCTACAAAAAAAAGAAAAAAAGAAAAAGCAGATCTATTTAATGTCTGCAAGCTTTCTTGAATACATGCTGGTAGATAGCCAGATGTTATGGTTTTGGGGAATGACCTTGAGGAATTGGGTGAAAAGATGCTGCCCAGGGACTGGTCAGATAAGAGGCCTCAGCCGGACAACGGACAGAACAAGAAGCTCAAGAGAGACACCCTTCCCTAAGCTCACAATATCCCGCTAATGTAGATGTACAATAAACTAGAATTGGATTATCTGGCTCTGACTCTTGTGTGGTCTGTCCGGTTAGGCCGACGCTGTTATCTAAAACTATAGATGCGGATGTTCCCCTAAGGGACTGGTGGAGTCCTTGGCTGCTATCAATAGGCCTTGATTCAGCCTGAAACCTGCTTTGTCTATTGGGAAAGTCCCTTCACTGGGGTGTGTTAAAATGCCCAAATCTTGGGGCCTTGGCAGCAAGCCGGGATAAACCTTTTCGTGTTTGTTGAGAGGAACTTCGGCTGTTTGATTGTGGTTTGTTAATCAGGCGCAAGAACAGCCAGCTAAAAAGGACGGACAAGCTGCTTCTCTTTCGTAGTTAGTTGCTGGTGTGTTTGTAGTAAAGCCTGCGAAGGAAATCAGACCGTGGTCTGTTTCTCTGCCTAAGCCTCCCTTCTATACAGGCAGGCCTCGTTTAGTGACCATTGAGTGAACATTACAACGGCCCTGAACAAAGGGACCTGCGAGACAACTGAGGCAGCGTTCCCATGGTCACGGGATCCAAATCCAGACTCTTGGCAACTGATCGTGTTTATGACGGTGCTGCAACGGCCGTAAGTTTGAAAAAAAAACAGCTAGGGCCGTTGCAGCTTCGGTCACTAAACGAACTGCTGTAAGTCGAGGGCTGCCTGTGTAAAAGGCACCCTGTTTGCTAAGCAAGACAGTGGAGTGAGTTTCGCCCCCCTTTTACAGCCTTTCTCACCACGGTCGTTAAGTGAATCACTGCCATTGTCGAGCTAGCCACACAGACATTAAGTGAATCAGGGTTTCCCCCGTTGACTTGCTCATCGGAAGGCCGCAAAAGGGAGATCGCGGGACCCCGTCATAAATACAAGTCGGTTGCCAAGCGCCTGATCGGGGCAGCCACGGGGAATGCCGTGACGGTCATAAGTGTGAGAAATGTTCCTAGGCTCACTTTTTTTTCGGTGCCGTTGTAACTTCCGAGTGTTCGCTAAACAAAAATGGTTGCAAGTCCAGTACCCATGCTTCCTTTCTCTCTCGACGACTGATATCATTTCTGTCTCTTCCACAGTCGAGATCCGGGGTGTCTGCTCTGCCGCCTCCAGATCTCTCATGGCGCTGAAGGCGGAGGCCCCCTTGACGGACTACACCGAGGTCGCTTCAGCCATCTCACGCTTCAGGGAGAAGGAGAAGATGGCTGTTGATTCCCGGCTGCACCTCCGCCCCTCGGGGAGGCAGGGTGGAGCCCTTGTGAACCCCATGGAGAAAGGTGGGGGTGTCTTTTCTCACAAGGGTGCGTGGGTGGCACTGGGAAGACAACCCAACAAGGGATGTCCGGCGCCCTGGGCAGAGACAAGGCACTGGACAACCAATAGTGTCAGGATTCCAGCAATCGCCCGAATTAAATCACGATTCTCGAGCCAAACTTCAAAAAACTTCCAAGGGTTTATTAGAGGCGACCTACTGGCGCTGCCCTGTATGAAGCCAACTCTGGCCTACGTCATTTACAGGGACCCTGTTTCCCCCCCTCCCACCTGCGTGTGTCATAAATCAAGATTCTCCAACTGAGCACCTTCCCGGTCTGGGTGTCATCAATCACATTCTCCAATTAAATATATTCGTGGGCAAAATCTCTGGTAGTTTAGTTTCAATCTTTTAAAGATAAAGAGTTGGAATGTACTTTCGCTTCCAAACTGCTGCACTGCTCTTCCAGATTTCCTTCCTTCCCACCCACCCCTTTTTTTAATGGCAACTACTAAAACGGGCCTAGGAATGTTTTATGAGTTGACATGGAGATTTTAAGAAGGGAAGCGAGCTGTCTAATCCAAAGTGAGAGGGAGGTTTAGGATTAGGGCAAGTATGTGAAGCACTGGCGTGTAGCGTAAACCTTTGGCAAGAAGGAACAGTACAGCGGTTCTTGGTAAGCCGCCTGTTTTGGTTTGTTTATGTTCCACCTTTATTACTTAACTAAAGTAAGTAACTCAAGGTGACAAACGTATGTAATCCTCCTTCCTCTTCCTGCTTCTCCTCCTCTTTTGCCCACAACAACCTGTGTAGCGAGTAGGGTTGAAAGAGGGACTGGCCCAAAGTCGTCCAGACTTTCATGGCTAACTGGAACTAGAACTCACCGTCTCCTGGTGATTGGCCCAAAGTCACCCAGCCAGCTTTCATGGTTATGGTGGAACTAGAACTCACCGTCTCTTGATGATTGGCCCAAAGTCACCCAGCCAGCTTTCATGGCTAACCAGAACTAGAACTCACCGTCTCCTGGTGATTGTCCCAAAGTCACCCAGCCAGCTTTCATGGCTAACCAGAACTAGAACTCACCGTCTCCTGGTGATTGGCCCAAAGTCACCCAGCTTCCTTTCATGGCTAACCAGAACTAGAACTCACCGTCTCTTGATGATTGGCCCAAAGTCACCCAGCCAAGCTTTCATGGCTAACCAGAACTAGAACTCACTATCTCCTGGTTTTCACCAAAGACCAGGCCTTTTCCCTAGCTTTCATGCTTGGCTGGGGCATTCCAAAAATATCAGAGGGTCTTCTAATGCAGGGGTCCTCAAACATGACAGCTTTAAGACTTGTGCACGTCAACTCCCAGAATTCCTCCTCCGGTCATGTTAGCTCAGGAATTCTGGGTGTTGAAGTCCACCAGTCTTAAACTTGCCACATTGATAGAACCCTCGCGCTTAAGAGAAACAATCCGAGTTGTAGAACTCTTCTCTAGGTGCGAGTTTGCGGTTCTCAATTAAAAACCCTATTTTTCTCCTCCCCGCAGGACAGTACCCGTTTTCCGACTCGGACAGCCAGGATGAGCTCGGTATCTCCTGGAAGCAGGAATACTTAGTAGCCGAGAATCCGGACGACAGCCGGCTGGTGTGCATGGTGTGCGGGGGCTTCTTGGCCACCTCCGGCCCCGCGGCGGCCCACCAGCACATCCTGCAGCAACACGCCCACTCGCTGGACTTCACCCTAGAGGAGAAGCGCAACATCCTGGAAGGCTGGAGCGAAGGGGCCGTGCTGCCTCCCGCCACCGATTCACCGCCTCCCTCCGCAGGTAAGCGCCTCCCGGCCGCCGTCGCGGCGTCACCCTCCCCCGGATCGGAACGGCCAACCATCTTCTGATTCCCTTTCTGGCCCTTCCCACCCCAGGCGGCCCCGGCGAGAACAAGCAGCCTGCCGAGATCGAAGTCCTCCTTGATACGGAGGAAGTGCCCGTGAGCCGGAAGCGCGGGCCTGTCCACGTACGCCGCGGTGAGTGCTAGGTCACAGAGGTGGCAGGAGGCTGCCTAGAGCGGCGTCCCTTTTCACAGCCCCGGGCCACCTCCCTGCACCCCAGGGGTCCTTGACTTACGACCACGGTTGGGACTGAGATATCTGTGGCTGCTCGGGCAAACGAAGCCGTGCCCTGTTTTCTGTCCAGCATCCTGAAGCAAAACCGCTGCGTTGGCGGTCATTCACGCGGTCATTAAGCAAATCTAGTCCACTCCTTGAATTTTCTTGTTGGAAACCGGCAGGGAAGAGGCCTCCAACAGCCCCCTCTCGATGCTGGGACGGTTGTTAGCGGGAGGGGCCCGTTGTTGAGTCTCCCTTTTTGTCTTCCACCCCAGCGCCGTGGTATCTTCCCAACGCATCGTCGTAAGTCAACGACTGCTGGCTGTTCTTTCAAAAAAATACCAATCCCCGTCCCCGAACCTGCCACCTGGGAAAGTGCGTGTTTTTGCAAACCCGCCTTGTTGTGAACAGTCGCACCGTGCCAGGAGTTCGTGTTGTGAGTGTGTTTGTTGGCCGGCTGTCGGAATTCCTCCCCGCCTTTCCTGGCTGCCAAAGATTCCCTAGCCCTGAGCTGACTTCAGACCGAGAAACAACAACAACCCCATCCCTTCTTTCTCGGTGTCTGTCAAAGAGGCTGCTCGGGGATAGGTAGATAGATATATCCCAGCATCCTTTGCTGCAAGGCTAAGCTCCCGGGGTGGGGGCTTCTGGGAGCTGTAGTCCACCCGCTGGAGAATCCCAAAATTCCCCCCCCCCTCGCTCTTCTTCCCTAGCCAGGTGGCTGCAAAAGAGACTAACTCGGCTGCAGGCAGGTAATCCTAGACTTACAACCCTTTCGGTCGTAAAGGGGATTTTCTTCGCCCCTGTTTTTTTTTTTTTTTACGACCCCTCTCAGCGCAGTCGTTAAGCGAATCGCCACGTCTGTAGTAACCCCCCAAAAAAGACTGGTAGGAATGAAGCCCCCCGATCCTGCTCCCTTTTGGCGACTCATGTCGTCCTTGATTTACGACCGCCCGCAGAGCCCCCAAGTTTCCGTCCGCTAAGCGAGGCGGCTGTCAAAAGTTGAAACTTTGCCCCCCCGTTTCGCGGCGTTTCTTGCCACGGTCGTTCAGCGAGTCATCCCCGTGGACTTCGCCTGCCAGGAGGTTTCAAATGGGGGACTGTCATAAATACAAGGTCTGTTGCCAAGCATCATCTGCATTGTGGATGACGTGCCCCGTGGTTGTAAAGCGTGAAAGAAGCGGTCCCAGGTCACTTTTTCTTCTCCCCCCAGTAGGCGTAAGTAAACGAACCGTTGTAAGTTGAGGACTACCTGCATCAATTTTTTCCCCGTAGCTTGGCAAAGTAGCACGGAACAAGCCACGGGACGTCTCCGAAATGCCTTGGCGTTGTTTTTGTCTCCACGCTAAAAGCTGCCGCTTCCTAACCGTGTCTTTTGTGCGTTTCTGTCCTCCTTTTTTCGTTTTTTTTTTTTGGTCGTGAAAAGAAACCAGATCCTTTTCCTTCCCAAAGCTGCCCCGTCCCGTTAAAAGACCCCCGACTGAACCCCGCCGTGCTTTTCTCCTCTTCTCTCTCCGCAGCGGAGGGCTTGCACGTAGACGCCGAGCGGCGACTTTCCGTCCGACAGAGGCTACCCGCCAAGGAGTCGAGGGGCCAAGAGCCCATGGAGGCCACAGGTAACACGGGGTTTGCCATGGAACCGGTTGTAGTGTGTCGCTTTTTGGGTTTCCTTCCCTCTCTGATTCCCCCCCCACACACACACACCTCTTTTGTGTGTGCTGAGCAGTGGTGGGATTCAATTTTTTTTTGCTACGGTTCTGTTGGTGGGCGTGGCAGGGGAAGGATTTACTGCAAAATCCCCCTTCCCTCCCCACCCCACTAACCTGCTTTCCAGCTCCGTTCTCCTGCGCAGGGCAACCAAAGAAGACCCAGCCAATCAAATGTGGCTTGATGGGCGTGGTGTTTTGTGGGTGTGGCTTTGCAGGCATGGTGTGTGGCTTGGTGAATGTGGCAGGGGAAGGTTACTGCAAAATCCCCATTCCCCCCCCCCACTAACCTGCTTTCCAGCTCCGTTCTCCTGCGCAGAGCAACAAAAGAAGACCCAGCCGATCAGCTGTGGGTGTGGCTTGGTGGGCGTGGCTTGGCTTGGTGGGCATGGCGTGCCTTGGTGAATATGGCAGGGGAAAGATATACTGCAAAATCCCCCTTCCCTCCCCACCCCACTAGCCTGCTTTCCAGCTCCGTTCTCCTGCGCAGGGCAACCAAGTAAGACCCAGCCAATCAAATGTGGCTTGATGGGCGTGGTGTTTTGTGGGTGTGGCTTTGCGGGCATGGTGTGTGGCTTGGTGGGCGTGGCCTGGTGGGTGTGGCAGGGGAAGGTTATTGCAAAATCCCCATTCCCTCCCCCACCTCACTAGCCTGCTTTCCAGCTCTGTTGTCCTGTGCAGGGCAACCAAAGGAGACCCAGACGATCAACTGGGACTCAATGGGAGGCGGAGAAGAGATGGGGTTGGCGGGGCCTGTCAGAGGCGGGATTGGCCGGTTCTCCCAACTACTCAAAATTTCCGCTACCGGTTCTTTAGAACCAGTCAGAACCGGCTGAATCCCACCTCTGGTGCTGAGCTCTGTTTTAATGCCAAAACAAAGGGTTTGTTCAACAAACTCAGGAGGTGTTCCTCCAGCCTTTCAAAACTCAGGTTTCTAGCCCTCATGTAAAGCAAAAGGGAAGCTTGAAAGCTGCCCAAATTGGAGGAGGATGTGATTCTATAGAGATGGCAATGTTGGACTTGGATCAAAAATGAAAGTTTTGCTTGTTTGCCTAGCTTTCAAGCGAGAGACGTTTTGTCAAATAAGCACCATATTTTGTACGAAATAGAGGCTCGGGTGTTTCTTTGCCAAATGTATCTCCAGTCCCACAACTTTGGTGGTGCTTCATACTCAAGTTAGCTTTTCTTTCTGTGTGCGGTTCACAATCCCTTTTCTACTTCTTTTTGAACTCCCTGCCCTGCCTGTTAGTGTTTCTAGTCCTCAAGGTCCTGGAGGAAGCCACGAAAATTGCTCTTTGTTGATTTTTAATGCTGCTTGGAAATGTTATTTAGGGCTTGAATAAAATTGTAACTTTGATTGGGAGAGGTCGCAAGGCTTATTATTTTAACAGATGAACAGAGTTGGAAGGGACCTTGTAGGTCATCTAGTCCAACCCGCCCAAGCAGGAGACCCTATTTATCACAAAAGCCAGTACAATTAAGAAACACTCAAAGGAGTATCTAGTTGCAAAATAACAGAATAAAATAATAACTAATCAAATCTGTGCTGATTAGATTTGCATCCTGCCGTGTCAGATGAAATACAGGCAATCCTCGACTTAAAACCACAATTAAGCCCAACACTCCTGTTGCTAAGTGAAGCAGTCATTAAGTAAGTTTTGCCCCCATTTTAACGACCTTTCTTGCCACGGTTGTTAAGCAAACCACAGCAGTTGTGAAGTTAACAACGGTTGTTAAACGAAACTGGCTTCCCCCTTGGCTTGTCAGACAAAAGGGGGACACTACAACCGTCATAACTAGGGGTCAGTTGCCAAGCCTCTGCGTTTTCATCACACGACCAAAGGTTTTAAAGGGTGAAAAAAAAAATATTTATTTTTTTGGTTTCTTTCTCCCTAGGGAAAGAATGGCTTTCAGAATGCGGCCTTCCCAGTTCGGCTCCGGCTGAGATCCGGATTTTCACCGATGGCTCCTTCCCCGCTGGATTCACCCTGAAGCTGTACTGCCGTTCTCAGCCAGGTGGGTGTGGAAACTCTCAAAACTAGTGGTGCAAATCTTGCTTCTTCTTTTATTTTATTTTTAAAGACTCTGGAAATATTGGCGCTGTCCCGGGCTTGGCACAGATCAGGAGGTTTTTAATCTACAACTGATGTACCAGGTCAGTCGGCAATCTCCAGTATCTTGCCCTGATATCTCGGCAATTCTGGCATGGAAAACCTCTTCCCTTTTGTTTTGTTTTTATTTTATTTTATTTTTACGTTAAAAAGAGATTGTTTAGACGGAGTGGTTGCCTCCCCTTTCTGTTCCAGAGAATTGTTTTCTTAGTTCTTTGTCTTGTCCCATTTTTCCTTTGCTATTTATTTTTCTTATCTTCTTTATTCCCCCTTTTATTGGTATTATTATTATTACTATTATTATTATTTAAACGTGAAACTCAAGTCAACTGAACTTTTAAAAATGTATCACAACTATTATTGATCAATTACTATTATTTAAACACGAAACTCAGTCAACTCAACTTTTAAAAATGTAT